AAGGCATATCTGGGCCTGGCACCAAAGAAGGCAGAGTCACCAAAAGAAAATGCACCACAGAAGGGATCAAATGTCATGCAGAACAGCTCTAGTGATGATGTCGTGCAGGACAGCTCTAGTGACAAGGCCAGGAGGCTTGCTGCTGCTGCTCTTGTAGAAGTTAAGGATGCTGCAGCTGCAGCATCAGGCAGAGGGAAAGTTGAGGTTAGCATATTATTTGAATCACCTGTTTGTCTGTGTTCTGTTGGGAGACCTGTCTGTGGGTAAACTTTGGCTTTTCAGATGTGGAACTAAGTAGTGCTGCTTAGTTTCTAGTTGTTAATTTCCTCTCCAATCACTTTTGAAGATATGATGTTACACACACATGTTAATATATGTATTTGGTTACATGCCAATTTTTACCACCTGAGTAGTCTCTGTGATGGCCAAGCAGTTTTCCTGTTTAACTTGAATCTCTCGGAGCTGATCCTTAAACCAAAAATCATAATTATCATAATGATGTATACAAATTAGTTTTAAAAAAAAATTTAATGGTATGGACGCGCAGTTCATTTTTTAAAATTTATTGGCAATAATCATATTAAACAGATCTCTTTCATTTTATAGATCACAGAGGTTCGGGATTTTGCCGGTCAAGAAATTGAATATAAGAAGCTTGTTGATGCTGATTCAAAGGAAGCATCTGAAAAGGCGAAAGCTCCAGCAGCTTCAGCCGTGGATGCAGTGCTCGAACAGATTAAGAAGAAACAAAAGCTCAGTGTGCTTGACAAAACAAAAAAGGACTGGGGGGAGTTTAAGGAGGAAAAAGGGTTGGATGAGGAGTTGGATGCTTACAAGAAGAGTTCAAACCAATATTTAGATAAGGTAAACTTCTTGCAGAGAGCAGATTTCCGGGAGTTCGAACGGGAGAGGGATGCACGGCTAGCCTTGCAGTCCAAAAGGAGGCCAGATATGCGGGAAGATCCATAACTGCACAATATTCTGGGTTGCTTTCAATTGCCTTGTGCAAACGCCAAACTGGGAATTGTGGAGAGGAGAATGGGCAGTTGCTGAAAGTTTAAGTATGGTTTTCTGCTTTGAACAGAGAAATCAATCCTTAAAATATCTTTTAAGGGGTATTGTGCATTTTCGTGAGGTATTTTTCAACAGTTCCTGGATTTTCAATGAGAAGAGAGAAAGGCCATTAATTGTAAACTAGGGAAGGAATTTTCATCTTATCAGATTTTAGGGGTGGGATTTCTTAGAGCAGGAACTTGCAGTATCACAAGATGGGAACATGAGTCACAGTTCAATTCTTTCCCTTCATTTGTCGAAAGTAAGAAAAGAATGGTGATCTGATGACTTCTCTTCGCTCTCTTTCTTCTGTTTTTGTTTGTTTTTTTGTCAAATAATCGTTGGTCTTCTAACTCGACTGTGCTTTATCCTTTGCAAATTTTACTGAGTGTTGTACTAAAACCAGAATCGAAACAGGAACAGCGTGATATTAAAATCTCCCACACGGGAGATGGGATATTGAGACTCAATTTTGAGCATTGCATCTTGAGAACAAATTCTAGTCAAAAGGGGCAGAAACAAACAGCAATCTTGAGCATCACATACAAGACTGCTGCATTTTGGAATGAGCAAATTCTTGATAAGTATTAGGGAATTGTTTATATCATGGTATCGAATGCCCGTCAGTCCATAATCTTATGTAAATCTGCTTGGAGAGTTGATTACGAATCCGATTACGTTAGTTCAACTTTAAGACATGATAAAAGCAAGAGATCCGATGCCCTACTTGGCCCCAATAATAGCATACATGAACATGTAGTTGCTGAACAGTAAACCACACGTGGTAATGATTCATTGGCATTAGCTCAACATACCCTGCTTATGTTGTTATTCACAGTGAGATGAGGAAGCATACAGAGTTGGGTCCCTTATTGATGCCAAAGGGACAGTTAAAAAAACAGCAATCTTGTATTCAAGCACTTTTACATGCTACCTTCAATGAAGGTTAAACAACTAAATGGAAAGTTCTTATCAAGTCAATCCAAATTTCTTAAACAAAAATGAAAACAAGATTAATCAAGTAATGATTTTTCTAGATGTGAATGGGCTTGTCATAAGTAGCCATGGCAGCTTCCTTCAAGGCCTCACTCATAGTTGGATGTGCATGGCAAACTCGTGCAATGTCCTCGCTTGATGCATCATACTGCAAGGCTATGGCAGCCTCGTGAATGAGCTCTCCAGCATTGGGAGCCATGATATGAACTCCCAATATCTTATCTGTTTCCTTATCAGCCAAAATCTTGACGAGTCCTTCAGCATCATCTATTGCCTTGGCTCTGCTATTTGCCATGAAAGGGAACTTTCCAACTCGGTATTCAACACCAAGGGACTTCACTTGTTCCTCAGTCTTTCCAACAGATGCAACTTCAGGGTGCGTATAGACAACCCCAGGGACCAAGTCATAGTCCACATGCCCAACCTTACCAGCAAGGTACTCCACGCATGCAACCCCATCCTCTTCTGCCTTGTGGGCTAACATAGGTCCAGGAATAACGTCCCCGATTGCATAAACACCAGGGACATTTGTAGAAAATCTCTCATTGACTAAAATTCGCCCTCCCTTATCAGTTTCAACTCCTATCTTATCCAAATCAAGGCCGGATGTGAATGGAACCCTACCAGCAGACACAAGAACAACATCAGCTTCAAAGGTGGTCTGGTCGCCACCGGCTGCTGGTTCAAGGGTCAACTTCACACCATCTCCAGAAGTATCAACTGATACCACCTTTGTTTTGAGCACAAATTTCATCCCTTGTTTCTCAAGGGAACGCTGAAATTGCTTGCGGATTTCCGAGTCCATTGTTGGGACGATATCAGGTCCAAACTCAACAACAGTTACCTCGGAACCAAGTCTACGCCACACTGAGCCCATCTCTAGGCCAATATATCCTGCTCCAACCACCACAAGTTTCTTTGGGATTTCTGTCAAAGCCAGAGCTCCTGTTGATGATACTATTTTCTTCTCATCAATGGCAATCCCAGGTAGAGATTTGACATCAGAACCAGTGGCAATTATGATATTTTTGCCTTTCACGACTGTATTCTCACCATCAATGGTGTCCACTGAGATTTCGGAAGGGGAGATGAACTTTCCATAGCCTTTAACATAAGTGACCTTATTCTTCTTGAAGAGCCCTTCAATTCCTCGAGTAAGATTAGAAACAGCTTTATCTTTTTGGGACATCATGGCAGGTAAATCTACCTCAACAGAGGAGAACTTAACACCATGGTTGTGAAATGCATGCTTAGCTTCATGGTACATGTGAGAGGAATGAAGAAGCGCCTGGACACAAAAAGCAGATGACATTAGAGATAAATTTCACATGCAACTAATACCAATATATTTAATTCCATTTCCAAGGGAAAAGAAACACATCTACTCATACCAAGAACAACCAAAAAGAGAATATCTGAATATGTAATTCACACAACCAGTAATTACTAAACTGTGGCAAATTATAGAATTTTCAAATGTAAATGCTTATCCACTGAAGATTGTTCTTTTATATACTTTTGAGGAAGCCCTTTTAGCCCAGAGTGAAATAAATTTCCACAATTTGGCTTAAAAAAATGCGATTATATTAAAAAATTTAGTATTAACTAAATTCAATCCAAATGAATATTATCAAACACAAAAACAAAATCAATCAACCGAAATTCAATTAAATAACACCAGCGAACCAAAAAATTAGATCTGACAGGTGGTAAATCAACCAAACAATCCACGAAATTTAGGGACAGATTAAGAACCCTAGCAGGCTAGTACGAGACTGTCCAAGTGAAGTAAAGAGTGTAAAAAAGAGAGACCTTGGAGGGTATGCAGCCAACGTTGAGGCACGTGCCGCCGAGAGCCCCGCGCTTCTCGATGCAGGTAGTCTTAAGGCCGAGCTGAGCGGCCTTGATGGCCGCCACGTAACCACCAGGGCCACCGCCAACCACGACGACGTCGTTGTCGTCAGATCCCGAGGAAGCGTAGCCCCTGGAGAAAGAGGTGAGCGAGAAGGAGTACCTGACGGCCTCCGATGACGTGTTGGACAAGTTTCTAGAAAGAAGGTAGGCTTTCCGCCTCGCCAAGCTTGCCATAGCCATTCTCTCACACTCTCGATCGTTAAACCTCTTTGGGTTTGGTTTTGGTCTGGTTTCGTTTTGCGCTTCGGCTTTTGGTAAAGGCCTTCAAATAGGACCGCAGACTATTGGGTGGGTGCTTTGCCTTCAGAATTTTGTGTTATTTTAACATTATATTCCTTTTTCGTAATCTTGTGTGTTAGGGTCCAGAAATCAGTCCGTGTTACTCCATCCGATATTCGCCACGTAAACAATGCATTTGTGTTTCAGAAATGAGAAGGAATGATAGCCGTTGGATCGTGATCGATTCTACGCTTACATATTTGACTACAACAATCGGTTGGCAAGGCAATTATTAAAATAGTTTTTTTTAAAAAAAATTTATTGGTCACAGTAGTTGGAAGAACATAATTATCTGCTGGGTAGCTTTTTTATTTTATTTTTTATTTTGACATATATATATATATATATATATATATGGAGAAAATGGTAGCCTCACAGAGTCTTAGCATATCACCATTTGGAATGTTTGGAGGAGATGTGTGCAATTGCCATAAGATGATGAGGTTATTTGTTGCTGCGAATCAAAACAATATTGAAGCCAATCCATCAGAAGACGGTGACCCATGATTCGTTCAATCTCCAAAGGACAACAATCAGAAAGCTTGTTTGGACGAAGAGAATATTTCCTTGAAACAAATTCAATCAACTTCACACAATCAGGCCAAAAAAATAAAAAAATTTCCTAATAATACATTTCTGCCATGCTGGTGGCACAGGCTCACTGAGACAAATGGACCTCAGACATGGATAATATGATGTAAATAAGAACCGAATATGGAGGGCCATTCTGGTGAACCCAACCCATTTAAAAACATACATTTGCAAAAAAATGCAATTACGTTTTACCGCTACAAGCCACAAACTCAACATTACATCAAGTCCTACTTCTGACCTACAAAACTGCTAGCTGCTTTGTTCAAAACTAATCTGAAACAGCCACAATGAGATAAAAATGATTTTCCATTAGGAACCACTAAATAGTAATCGACTTGTATTTACATTCAATTGCCTCCTAACGAGCTTCTCAACCGGCTGCGTGCTTCCTCAGATAGACTGCAGATCCTCAACCTTGGGCGCTGGGGTGAGCACTCAACAACACGATTAGGAGAAGAGAGGCGCACAACAATAACGGTGAGATTGTCAGTTGTATTCAAGCGCAAGGCTTCCTTGACAAGTTCTCTGGCACACTGATGCGGGTCATCATGCCTCCGCAGACCACGCCGAACAAGACTTACAGCATATTGGCTTGACATAACATCCCAGATCCCATCACAACCAATGATCAAAAACTCATCATCTTCTGTTAACATAACCTGTTGAACATCTGGCTCAGCAATGAGAGGTGATGATGAACCGAGTGGCAATTTCAAGTCCCAATCTCCAAGGGCTCGAGTGACCGAGAGACCATTAAGATACCCGTCATCAATGCGACCACCCAACTGCTCAACTCGCTTGCGTTCCGGCAAGAAAGTAGGCTTGTGGTCTTGAGACATGTCAACTGCTACTCCTTTCCTGCAAAGAACTGCTCGACAGTCACCAGCATTTGCAACCAGCAAATGCCTTCCAAGAATTAAAGCAGTCAGTGCAGTTGTTCCACAAAAACTGCTCACACTGTGTTCATGAGCCAAGGCATCGTCTGCCAATAGAAATGCTTTCCTATGGGAATTCTCCAACTCTCTGAAGAAAACAGCATCCATATCCATTCTCTGCGGCAAATCAGCATCTTCAAAGAAGAGTCTCATGGCATGCTTTTTGACATATGAAGCTGCCTCAGGCCCACCGTGACCATCAAAAACTGCATAAAATGCACTTGGCAGGGGAGACTTGAAGAGAGGCCCCGCATGGGCAGATAGATCATCTATCCGAATGTGTTCATCATCCATCGAATCCCTTCCTCCGATGTCAGTGTGGCTTCCTGAATGAATGTCCGGGACAAACTTGATGGCAGAAGACTCCATTACAGCTTTATTAATGGTCTCTGTGCAACTCACAACCTGATAAAAGATCAAATAAGTAGGTGACTAAACATGCTCCGTGCATCTCAAAACCAATAATCCTGAATTGAATATGCATTTGTAATATGCAGACACAGAAATATGAAATTCAACAAGCATAAAAAGGATGAATAACAAATCCCCAAAACTAAACAACTGACTGTTGTGGAGCATACAAGATTTCACCCATAAAGTTTCTTTTAGAATTACTACAGAGTAATTTCTCTAATTACTTTCATCTTGCATTCCATATTTAAACAGATGTTGATTGCATCAGTCAGATTTTCCCAACCAAAAAGCATAAAACCAAATTCTTAAAGAAAGAAAAACCAAAATCAACCAATCAGGTCCAGAAACTTCTGACAAACCCATCAAACAGAATTTCCAGCATAGCAAAAAGCATATAATACAATCAATTTTAAAGCCCTAATAAATAAATCTGCACAATATCTAATCCAGAGGGCTCATAGAGACAAGAAAATATGCGAACAGTAGAAATTTTACCGAGTAATAAATTCTCAAATCAATTGACCAACAAAAAAATCTTACAAATCAAAAGTTTACTTGGAATTTACTGTAAAGAAAAACCACGAAAAAATTACTGAGCTCATCAGAAAAAAATAAATAAACTTTGCAGACTAATGACAAACATTATAGCATCCAAAAAGGGATAAGGAAACCCTACGGACTAGCTATTCAGTAGACTCTAACTGAACCCACAAAAATTCAAGAACCAATGTTGATTTTCTTCATATAATTCTTAAAACCCATAGCTAATCTTGAGAATAAACATTAAAAAAAAACAAAGAAATAGAATAAATCCCAATTCAAAAAAATCAATAAAAGAAAACAGCAAGTAATTCACTAATTCTTCATACCAACTCGTAACAAAGCTAAAGAACATACCGATTCGAAGCGAGATATCTCAGTGGAAATCGTTTCGGAGACGCAAACCTCGCCGAAGCTCGGAGCAGAAGAAGGCGGGGAGGCCACGTCGATCTGAAGGTTGTGGTCCTTGGAAACGCAGACACGGTACTTCATGTCCAGCACAGGCAAAGCCATGGTCTTCTGGCATATAACCTCCGCTTCAGCAACCATTTTCTCACTCACAATCATCCTCAAACGCCGTCGTACCGTCAAAAAAGAGCAATTTAGGGTTTTTATTCTCAGTGAAGGTGAACAGAGATGGAAATTAGGGTTTTTATTCGTTATACGCTTCGGTTTTAGTTTCTAATTTTCGATCGCTCTGCCTCTCTTGAATTTCTCTGTGTGTTTTAATGTGAAAAGAGTTGGATTATATACGTAGAATAGAATCCATTTCCGGCTCGGAGAAGTAAACGACCGGCTGAACCAGTAGACCGGCTCTTGATGACCGCCACGTGCCTGTGGCTGACACGTTCGGGTGTTTTTAAGGGAAGTGTGCGCCACACGTGAATCTCATGGCGGGTAATTGCTGGAGGTAACCTGAAGGGGCTGTATTAGTTTTGACCGTTTTACCCTTTTGCGTGGGTATATGCTTTGCGGCTGCCGATTCCATTTCGGGTTTAGCTTTCCTTTTACGGAGTGACAACTAAACAGCACCGACGTATTCCTTGGCGCTCCACCTAACTTCACGCCTCTATTATTACAAGGCAACATTATTTAATATTTTACTTTTCCGAAGATATTGTTTTTCTTAATTATTTGGTAGCACGGATTTGCAAGGAGAAGAACTTATATGCCACGGAAATAACATTGTTTTGCTATATTTATGTGTTTATTAACCTATTAAATTCATAATGAATCAAAACTTATGTAGGTTACAAATTAAAATTCGTAATTAAATATCTTCAAAATCATGAATGAAATTATATAGGAGGGTAGTTGAACTAATTCTTTTAACTCCTCAATTTAAATTTTTCGATTCATGACTTTCCTCATTAATGACAAGTAAACATTTTCATTTACCACCCGAAGTTTATAAAAACAAATTTTTTTTTTCCTTAAAAATATAAAGCCATAAAAATAAGCAAGATCCTTCAAACTTCAAATCACATGGGGCCTTGATGTAGAATGCACATAACAAAGCATTGAATTGTGTAACAAAGTAGATTATTAAATTAGGGAAAGGGCCATCATGAATGAATGATGAAGAAAATATTGCCGGAATTTCTCCCTCATTTCACACATGATTTTATAAGGAATTCGACATGCATGTCGATGTCCCCATATAAAATGCGGTGTTTATGTTACATACACGTTCTTATATTTTATTCATCTCAAGAATTAGGTAAAGTAAAATTATAATTTTTTAAAATTAAGGAAGCTGACTGATTATGCACCTTTATTAGTGCTGGCACTTTATATTAATCATATACAAAGGTTGCGTACCAAGGTTTAGTTTTCGTTAGTCGTTGCCTTGTTGGATTTAAAGTTTGTGGCCAGAGTCAGCAATTAGCACGCTTTGATTCCATTTATGGCCAAGACTAATCCAAGTAACTTAACTAACAAGCGTCTTAATTTCCTCTACCTTTGCTTTAAGAGAGTATCTTTGTTTACCACTTTAACTTAAGGTGTGCTAGCACTATCATTGTCAACACTTGACACGTATCTTTGTTTACAACTTTAACTTAAAGTGTGCAATCACTATCATTATCAACACTTGACACGTGTTCGTGATGATACACATTTTGAGTTAAAATTGTGAGAAAAAATATTTCCGTTCTTTAATGCCTATCTATAAAAAAAAACCTAGCATTTATCTTCGTTGTTATCCCTATCATCATAAGGTGGAGGTTTTTTGTGCACTCTCTTGGTGCTTTGTGGATCATTCAACTTTACAAAAAAATAAAAAATAAAAAATTACATACAACTTGTAACTTAAAATGGTTAAGAACAGTTATTTCGATACTCGAAGTTTTGTGTTCGAATTCATCTGGTATAAAAAAGTTATAAATAATAACTAACAACCCCTGGTTTTTCCTACAAATAAATAAGTTATTATTTAACATAAATTAAAATGCTAGTAGGTGAGGTTTCTAGATATTAAGCACCATAAATTGGTTGAAAACCTACCAGCCATTTCAAAATTTTAAGATATTTTTGTGTTGGATCTTACACGTGGCAGAAGAGAAGCCATGAATACTTTTCATACGTGTAAGTTAGTTCGTCGTAAATGACTATATTATTCAAGAAAAGTTCCTACTGTTTTTCAGCCGAGGTGTAGACACTTTGTTACGAAGAGTGTCACCAAAGGAGAATGATGTGTACAAGTTTTTGCGGTACACGTGTCTCAACGAAAATCACTTATATTGCAAAGTTCTTACCATCCAAGAGTTTGGATTCTGATTGAAGAAAACATACCCATACTCATCAAATCAACACCTGATTGGCCAATCTTCTGGTTTGTCCAATCCGCACTGGCCAATGCTCATCAACCAGCTGGAAAAATGTCACATCAGCTTAAAAATAGAAAATTAATGCGACTCTTGTCTGTCGGCAATAATATATACCATAATTTAGTACTAAAAATAGAAAAAAAAAATGAAAAGAGTTAATACACGTGGCTTGTGTGTGAAACACAATGCTAGCGTGCCCTCCTCATTATTTGATCCACAATTGATGGCCCAGAATTGGAAGTTGGGAGGGGCGGCCTTACAGCCACAAGTCAACTTACCATCCTTCTGTTTCCATTATGATACGAGGTCAACCTCATCTAACTAATTTTTTTTTTTAAAGGATTTTTAAGGGATTTTTTTTGTAGAAATGTCACCTTAACTTATATATCAGTTTTAATTTGTCATCTTAATTTTTCAAAATTCATGATTTATCATATGACTTTAAACGCCATCCAATTTTCCATCTATTTTAAAAGGTAGTTCAATCTTTCCATTTTCAAGAGTATTTTAAAAATGGAAAAATCATTATATAAAAAATTGTGTTTTAAAAAAATCTCACATTCCCCCATACCGCCACCGGCGGCTCTGACCAACCCCTCCCACCTTGAAATCCATTCCCCCTCCTCTCTTCACAAACCCTTCCTCCATTCCCTCTTCCCCTTCCTCCTCTCTCTACCATGGAACACCTATCCTCCACACACAAATTCACTCAGCCCACCCGAACTGAGTCCACCTTTTTCTTCTTCTTTTTTCTTTTTGGTATTCTTCCATTTGTGTAATGAAAATTTGTGGAGAGAGAGGGAGAGAGAGAGAGAGAGAGGGAGTGAGAAGTGAGGGGAGGGGAGGTCTTGTGCGATGTGTTTTGGGGGCGTGTAGGGTTGGGGTGGGGGAGAAATGGAGAGAGATGTCACTTTTTTTTTCCCTATAAAATAGAAAGACTAAAATACCCTTAAAATGGATGGAAGATGATGTTAAAGTCAAATGACAAATCATGAATTTTGAAAAATTAAGGTAACATTTCTCTTAAAATTTTCTTTTAAGGTAACAAATTGAAACTGAGATATAAGTTCACATGACATTCCTATAAAAATCCAAATTTTTAACTCAAATGGTCCCCAAACGTAAACATGATTTGCATTTTGCTTCATCAACTAAATTATTCGTTCAAATGTCTACATACTCTTTATTATTCGGCGAATTGTCCCACCGTTTGATTTGCCACAAAGGAACACATCAGGTGTGGAAAACCACCTGAACCTTACTCTAAAATCAGTAAAGAATACAGTTTGATCCAAGAAAACACAGGTTCAGTCCAAAATTTTCACCTCTTCAGGCTGAAGAATATACCTGTACAGTTATAATTTTATCTGATGTTGCCAAGAAAACCCCACAAAAGAGTAAAATTTTGAGTTTTGGTATTTGAATCTGCTTGACATGCAGTTGAATTCTCATATCCTAAAGCTTTCAGCTTTGGTTGTTACATAGAAGAGTTGATCTCACAAAAAGGCTCGCATTGCATGGTTGGCATTTACTCACAGCAGACCGGTTCGTGCTCTTTCTGCAGCTTCTCCCAAAGGCACAACACCAACCTTGGACTTTGGTAATGAGCGAGAATGTAATTTGATTCACATCCGGCACTGTAAAACCTATCATCCGTGACATAATTCACTTCATGACCGCTGTTCTTGAATTGTTCGATCCAAATGCCCATTGCAACATCCTCTAGTTTAAAAAGCTGAAAAGTCATAATGCTAACAGGTTAGCCAAGGAATGAGAAAATCAACACACTGCCTGTTGGCACTGCTCACTTGTCTTTACATGCCCCACTTTGTATTTCAGTGACCAGTCTTAAAAGAAAGAGAAATTCTATGTCATTTTCTTTTCAAGATAAAGTGACATGTTCTACAAACTTCGTGCAGATCCTTAGAAGAATGAGCCTTAGAGGTTGCATTTTGCATAAGTAATTTTACCTTGAGGTTGCTTTCCTGGTGGCCGCGGACAATGAATTTGGCAATGTCCCGAGAGATAATGTAACCTGGACCATGGGCCCATGGTGGGTACAAAGCATGAGGCCATTCCTGAGAAAAATAACACTCATCAAAATCAAGTCAAAGTGCAATAAAGCAAACATTAACCATATATAGAAAGAAATTTGATGTGAGTACCTTGTTATCAATATACCACTTGCTGCCTTTCTCCCTATCAGGCGCTGATTCAAAGGCTATAAGACCATACAAGAGACCATTCGTTGCCCTTCCCTTGAGGCTAGAGATCACCTCATCAATTCTAACAAAAGCATCATCATCTGTTTTCATGATATATTTAGCAGGGAGGATCTTGGTCTGCAGATTTAAGATAAAGATGATTGATAACTTTTCTAACAATGTATATATTGATAATTCAGTTTGCTGGAACATAATATTTTGTATTGACGTACTCCAAAAATACAAATTGCAATTGTTTTCAAACTGATCAGGCTGTAGTAATCAACAAATGGCATCAGTTGGATATCTCCATATGCTTCAGCTTCTCGCCACAGCTCAATATTGACTTGACTGTTCTTGTGCTGCAGGTATGAACAAGTTGTAAACTTTGATACCAACCAATTTTTTCTGAGCAAGCAATATGTTGATAAAATTGTAATTAGAATGCATATATTGGAGTACCAGGAGTATGTTACATAATGAGATTGTTTCAATTCTGCAAGTTTATAATGTGAGAGTACCAGAACCAAAAAAAGAAGAAGAGGATTTTGACGACCTAGATCTAGGATAAGGACAAAACTAAATCTCCCAATTGAGGCACCACCAACACAGCAATTCTTGCTGAAGAACTCTTTAGATGATCAAGTGTTCCAGTCTGCATAGTACTGGCATCACAGATGGCCTTTTCAAGCCATAATAATTTCTAAAACACCATGCACACAACTAAAGGAAACCTTATCTTGGCATCAATAAGTGGCAAATTGATGAAAATACTTCAGCTAACAGACAAAACCACAGCCTTTAGACTTCTTATTGGGAAAAACCAGAGGATATTGAAGAATATGAGACCATCTTGGTATGCACAAGCAAATGACTCAGAGCCTGCAATGTGTCACTTACAAGGCCAATGAAAAACCGGACAGCCACATCCCCAGAACGTACAGCCTCATATTGCATCCAAGCCCTCCTCAATGCCATTCTACGCTCAAAATTATTTCCAGTAGAGAACACTCCAACCAACATCAATAGTCTTTTCTTCAAAGTCGCAGGAGCTTTGAGGTGCTCAACATCAACAACTAAATCATGATCCTCAGAAACAGGCAAGCCTTTAGCTAAGGCAGATAAGAGGTCCAAACCACCAGCCACTTTGACTTTGGTAACTGACCATGGCTCAAGTTTCTACATATGCAAAAAAGCAATGTAGGGTGGAATTATTCACTTTTTCCAAAATGGAATTGTCTTGCAGAAAACAAGTTTTGGGCAATAATCTGTTATTACCAATAAAATCATACCTTACCTCCCTATATGCAAAAGATGTTTCATGCCTTCCATTCACAGTCATGTGAAATCCCTCTAAACCAACCCACAATGTAGCAGTAAAGGGATTCCCTTCAACGAATGGGAAATTAGCACTTCCATAGGCACCTCCCCTGGAAACATTGGTCAACATTTCACTACTGGGCTGACTCATATTTAGATTTTCTTCCAAGGAGCTTCTGACAGCTTGTTCATTGCAAAGAACAAGTCCATCAACTGTCAAATTTGCTAAAATGTGTTAGATTTCTACTTGGAACACCCTTATTGTTTTTTAAGAGGAACCTTATTCTTAAGTTAAAGAAAAAGAGCAGGATATAATAAATAATCTTTATTTGATTAGTATGAAAACAATGTTATACATTATAACATTTTCGATTAATACAGAGGCCGAATGAGTGTTCTAAAGTTATCATGAGTTTAATTACATTTTTTCATATAATGTGCTCTTCAAGTTTGAGCCACCATAGGAAAAAAAAAACGAGAATGTTCTTGTGAAAGAGTTGGACTTGCAATTCTCATACCGTCTAAAGTCTAAACAAAAAATTTACCTTTCAGGTTGTTAGCAGACCCGTGAGAAGGACATCTTTCCTCTTTGCCCCACCCAAGTTCATGAGTCCAAATATTTTGAACTACAAATGGCTCCTCTGTCATGTTATCACCCGGGAGACTGACATTGTAATGCAAGATAATAGGAGGCTCAGGCTCTCCAGCAAGTTGGGAGCCTAGAAGTTGAATTTGAAAGCTTCTAGAGTGCCCATCAGGAATGCCAACCAAAGAAATGGAGGAATCGTCAACGAGGCCACAAGGGATTTCAAGAATAACCCCGTCTCTTGACACTATCTTATCAAGTGTACTTACAGAGAAAGGGCAATTTTTATCTTCTTGGCGGTCACTTTTGCTTAATTTGGAAGCCTTGTCCTTGTCAATTGCAGACAACAAGTCTTTCCACGCCATGGAGGCCTCTTTAACCCCTTGAGCAGTTTCAGGCAAAGCATCAGACCTTGACAGTAGGGGACGCATGTGAGGCCATACAAGCAAGGCCCTTGACCCTTCTTTGAAGATGTCATGTGAAGAAAACAGCTCATTGGGCCCATCAACTTCTATAAAATGGGGTTTCTTATATGATTCTGCTTCTTTTTTCACTTTTATCTCTGACGACGTAATAAAAGAATCATTGGTTGGATGGTTTCCGAAGAAATCAGAAGCCGACTGCTTCCGCGACTGCTTTGGTGGCTCAATTTTGACAATGCTGCAGTAACGAAAAACCAATATCATAGCAAGAGCAATGATAAACAAGCCTCCGGACCACTTCTTCATTTTGGTTATCTGGTGAAGCTGATGCTTAAACAAAACCACATGACCCTTCTAGAGTCCTCTTTGTCTGTAACCCAGTTCGTTAACTGTCATCTTCTGTAAGCTTCTTGCTCTGATTTGCTTGCAAAATGACATTGAATACTACTTTCGATTATTCAATAGCCAATACACACACACACACACACACACAAATAATAGTTGAATTCTCAAAAATCAAAACTTTAGGAAAAAATAAAATAAAAACTTATGCTCCAGCTATACACACAAACACAGAGAATGTCACCAAAATTTGAATCTTCCTAATGAGGGTCTAGTTTTAGTGCCACTATCAAGTATCAATCAAAGCAACGAATGACTGAAAACTCTATAAAGCTTTGAATGAACACAAGCTTACTCGCACATACCTTATATGCTCCTCCAGAACTTGAGCACCTCAAATCTGATTCTCTCCCGCAAAAAAAAAAAAGAAACCAAAATTCGAAAGGAAATCTGCTGTCTATGAAAAACTTGCAAAGCTTTTAAGAATGGTTCTTCTTCTTATTCTTCTCAATTTGAAAAGATGATCTTCTTGTATTCTGGAAATCAACTTCCAGATACTGCACTCTTCACTGCTAGTAGATTTCGGAGAGCTCCTAATACGGCGTCGTCTAAGGCGGTTGCCTTGTCAGGTCCCAGGTGGGACGTTGCTGTCTGGATTATTTTGGTAAGTGTCTGATATTTTTTTTTTTGTTTTTTTTTTTGGGGAATAAGTGTCAGATTTGATTATGAGATTTGGGGGGGTCGCTATCCAGTGTGTGCGGTCGCACCCATCAAACTATCAATTTTTGTTCAACCAAAAAAAATATATATCGAATTTTGAGCTAATTTTATTCTGGTAAAAAACATATATTTTCAAATCTTCGGAATTTTTTTATATTCATTTTTGACTAATGATTTTATTATTTTTATGGTCCACCACAATAATTTAGGTGTGCGTTACTTGGGCAACTGCTGTTAATTGATATGATGAGGTATAATTTTATAGGTTTTTTAGGTTTTAAACATAAAAAAAATTTCACTTTTGGAAAAAGCCAAAGCTTTTTCAAAAATGACAAAAAAACCACTCAACTTTCAAATCAAAGACATGCAAATGCATTGGATTCCTTAGGAAATCTAAAAATAAATAAGGGCATTTTTGTCCATTTTTGCTTCTTTTAAAATTTTTCTCTCTCCTTTTGCTTTTTCCAAAATGTCCCTAATTTTATTTATTTATTTATAATTATCAAGGTTTAAGTTGTTGTTTATATTTATTAATAAATTTAAGTTGCTTGCTTCTTATAAAAAATGAAATAAAAATAAAAGCTATAAGATTTCATCTCTACTTGTAGTCTTGTACACTGCTTCATTCATCAACCAGTCAAAATGGCCAGAATTTCCACCACAAGACCCAACTTCATATCTTGAACAATCTCCATTCTCCAGGAGAATCCAAGGGAAACAGATCCATCAAAAAGATACATTCAAACAAAATGAGTTTAAAAGTCTAGTCTCCATCATGGAATTCAATAGTAGTAAACTTGATGTCCATGCCAATTGCTATACTAAGCTGATCTGATCCCAATGTCTGTCAGAATAGAGCTAATCACAAGCTAGACAAGAGCAGCAGAAGGCCAAAGAGCACCTGTTCTAGACATTTACTGCACCACAACAAAGAGAAAAATCAAAAGAATCTTATAGTATAACATTCTGCAGGATCTACATATCGAAAATTGTTAAGGATAAGAAACAGGAGAGCAGAGGAAAATTATGTCCATAACCCATTACTATTCTTTTAGTGTACGGTACCAGCTTCACGTGCACATCAAGGCATTTCCCAAGTCTGGCTTCAACCGAATTATATGTTCATTAACTGGCCTTGGTTCGGTATAGAATGATGCCTCATATGAAGTTGCAAGAGAAACTGGAACAGCCAGAAAATCACGTGCCATCTTTGAAAGGGTAGGATACTTAGCGCCTGTAGTTCTCCACCAAGTCAATGCACTAAAATCCTGGCTCCAAGGTAAGATAGGTTCCTCCAAATGGCAATCCAAGTCTGATTTTTTTGTAGGCTGATTACTCGATTGGATGAACTGGTAGTAGTCTTTCAACACACCAAAAATATGATTCACATGTGCTGGACTAGGAGAGTGTCCTGAATTTGAATTGGAAGAAGATGAATCACTCATGAAGTTTTCTTTTTCAGGAAAACGAATCACATATTCATCAAAATGTTTGCGGATGGCACCCAAAACAGCTGCAACTTGTGAGTTCCCGTCCCTACCCTTGACTTTAGAACAAACAAATTCTATGTATTTCATCTTAAATCAAGGATCCAGAACTGCAGCTATTGCCAGCAGCAAGAACATGTTGTCCCAATACTTAACAAACTTGTTCAACGTGTCCTCGGCTATTGTTCTAATAAAACTATCTGAGTCAGTGGACATTTTGATCAGAATTTCGTGAAGCTCATGGAGGTGATAAAGATAAACATTAGGAGTTGGATGTTTCGTCTCAAATAATGCATTTGATACTTCATACATGCTCCCTACAATTTTACAAACACCTTCAACTTTCTGCCATTCCTCAGGGGATGGTACATCGTGAAAATCGATTATTTTTTTCGAAGAGAATTCTCCCATAGCCCGCAACTTCAGACCTTGTTGTAGATCGAAAATTCTGTGATTCCATCATAAGGGTAATGATTTTACAGAAGAAGACAATCCATGAACTTTGTTGATGATATCTATAATCTTGCCAAACGCATCCTGCACCATTTCCCCACAACAATACACGCGAAACCCACAAAACAGCTGACCATTAAAACAGAGTTCCTTTGTTTTCTTGGATATGATTTATCACATACTCAGCCACACAGCCATAACCATTAGTCATACAAATGTAGAAATCTTATCCTTAATACCCCAATCTTCAAGCGACTTAAAAATGCCCCAATCTTGACAAGAGACATCATCAGATAAATCATCTTCATCACATGGATCCAAAACACAGCGGAAGTAAAGTACCCACTTTCTCAGTTTCCAATTTTCATCAATAAAATGTGCGAAAGGCACAAAAACTTACGGAAATTATAGTACTTCAATATCTCCATTGAGAGACTAATCTGTCCTTCATAATTTCCTAAGTTATCTTAATCTGTCCTTCATACTTTCCTAAGTTATCTTTAACTGCTCTTTCCTTTCCTCATAGACTTTGATGCATTCACTTTCGACCTCTTTACGCTAATCTTAAACAGCGGGTTAAACTTATGTGCCAACTCTCAAAAATCACTACCTTCACAAAAAAAATTTGCAAAAGCCCTCAGAGCTTTTTGCTCATCAACTTCAAACCCCTCAAACCTTGCATCAGAATCAAATGACATGCCATTCGCATCATCGTTGTCGCTACCCTAGCTGTCATTTTCATGATCACACATTCCTTTCATTTTAGAACCAACAGCTTCATCAGCTTCACGAATCCCTGACACATCTAATGAACACAAACTTTTTAGCACCATAGCTCCAAACAAGTGAAAAATCTAGTCTTTCACTTCGTTTCTTTTACATTAACCCCATCATTTTTCTTTGAATTCATGCATGCCAGCATCTATTTACAACTACGGAGCTAAAGCACAAAATAGAATCAATGATGGCGTAAAATCATGGATACCCATTAACAATATAAGCAAAAATCTCGCAATAAACTCTTAAGAACAAATAAATTTATACACCCTCAAAATTATTATAACCAACAAATGAATAAAAACATAGCATTGTAAAGACAAAAGGAAAACCCAGAAAGCGTAATACAGTACAAGAAAGCAAAAAGCGCGTGATCATTGTTTAGAATGTATAAGAAAGACAAAAACTTGAGATTCAGACAAACCTCGTTTGGGATGGTCGCCCAGAGGAAAGAGCTCAGAGAGAGAGTGAGAGCACAAAGGGGATTTAGGGTTCTGTTAGAACTTGGAAGTGGAATTTGACTCTGAGGGAGAAATGGGGAGCTTATGCTTCATTTTAGCGGGAAAATTTTACGGAATAGCCGTACACGTGGCTCCCTTATTTACAAGACACGTCCTTCTGTTTTTAAGTAAAAAATATATTTTTGTTGTGTTTGTTTATAATTATATTTTGTTTAAGTTGTGAATTTTAGCATTTTGATTCATCAAATTTGGTTTTTTTTAATATATATTTTAATTTTTAATTTTCAATGTTTTTACATTTATAAGGAAGGGGAATTCGAATTGACGGACCTCTTCCAATATTCACATAGCAAGTCTGAATAATTGTTGAAAAAAGGAGTAAGAAATCTTCATGAACAAATTGTTGAATTTAAATTTTTTTAAAATTACAGTGTTATTTACAAAACTTCCAAAAAGAAAGGGTTGGAAAAAAAGTTTGGGATGCTAAGGATTCAAAAATATGATCAAGTCATTTTTTATTTATTACAGCCCTGATTTCGATTTCATTTATTTTTGTAACATGCTTAGGATAGATAAAGTCAGAGGAATTTTTGTTCCTAATATAATTGCTGAGCAGCAAACTCCATCATGTCCATTGTCTCTCCACAGAACAGTTCAAAACTACAATGAAATCAAAGTTCAAAACACACAGGATATTGTAATTCCACTTTTACTATATTATGAACCAGTAAAGTTACCAGAATTTCAACCAAAGTGCAATATACAAAAGCAGCAATAGGGTAAAATTTAGCATCATATATTCACCCATCTCAAGACAACAAGACAGGAGAGCTAGATTTTTACTATCCAAGGGAAACAAATTTACAATACAACAACCGAAAAAATTAATGTTCAATCTCTGTAATGGAGTTCAGAAGTAACTGCTTTAATGTCTATGTCAACTGCTTAGCTAAACTGAGATTCCCAAGCCTTCCAAAAGTGAGGTAGCCATAAGCTAGGGAAGAGCAGCAAAAAGAAAAAACTGTACCTGTTCTCGACATCAAGCACACGCACAAAAAAAGGGAAAAAAATCTTGTGAGAATTAAATCATCTTGCAGGATACATATTGAAGATAATTAAGAGCAAAAAGAACAAAGAAGAAATAGTATTGACAATTACCTGTTAACATTGTATCAGTGCCTGCCTACTATACCCAGCTTCGAGTACACATCAAGGCATTCATCAAGTCTGGCTTCAAGCGAACTATATATTCATCCGCTGGCTTTGGTACAGTATAGTATACACCATTTCCAGTTGACAGAGACATTGGCATGGCCAAAAAGTCCCGTGCCATCCGGGAAAGGGTAGGGTAGGCAGTGCCTGCGGTTCTCCACCAAGACAATGCATTAAAATCTGGACTCCAAGGTAACACAGGTTCTTCCAAATAGCGATCCAAGTCTGATTTTTTCGCAGGGTGGTCATTTGAACGGATGAACTGCTGGTAGTCCTTCACCACTCTAAAACTGCGTTTCCAACGTCTAGAACGACAAGACTCCCCTTCGGTTGGAAAACGGATCACATAGTCATCAAACAGTTTCTGCATCGCCCATAAAACATTTGCAACTTGTGTTTTTTTGTCCTTACGCTTAACCTCTGAACAAAAGAATTCAATATATCTCATCTTGAATCGAGGATCCAGTGCTGCAGACATTGTCAACAGCAAGAACATGTCATTATCCAAATACTCATCAAACTTTTTCAGCATGTCCTTAACTATTGTTCTATTAAAACAATCTGAGTCAGTGGACATTTTGGTAAGAATTCCGTGAAGCTCATGGAGGTGATAAAGATAAACATTGGAAGTTAGAGGTGTTGTGTAAAATAATGCTTCTGATACTTCATCTATGCTCCCTATGATTTTACAAACACCTTCGACTTTCTTCCATTCCTCTGGGGAAGGTACGTCATTAGAACCAATCACATCTTTGGTAGAGAGTTCTCCTGTTGACCATGACTTCACAGCTTCTTGCAGATTTAAGAAACCACATGGGGTAATCAGTTTTAAAAGTATACACCTGACGAACCTTGTGAACGATATCTTCAATCTTGTCAAATGCATCCTGCACCATTACTCTGAATATTTCCCCACAACAATACACAGGAAACACTGGATTAAGTTGGAATTCCTTCTTTTCTTGGATGTGCCTTTTAACATGCTCAACCATTTCCTTATAGCACTTCCCATTATTCACAGTGACTGCGCGTATCTTGTTCTCAATGCCCCAATCTTCATGTCCGTGAAGGGAATCATCAGACGGACCCGAAACCGAACGAGAACTAAAGCAAAGTACCCGTTTTTTCAGTTTCCAATTCTCATCAACCAAATGTGCGGAAAGGCACAAATAATCACCACAGCAGCGAGGGTCAATGTGATTTTCGCACCTCAAAATGTCCACCGAGAGGCTAATCTGTCCATCAAAGTTACCTAAGATTTTCTTGGTTTCCATTTTCTTTTCCTCGTAGACTTCCATGCATTTAGTTTCAAACTCATTGAAACTAGGCTTAAACAGCGGATTAAAGATACTATTTGACCATGTAATATCTCCAGCCCATTCAGGTTGAACTGCTCCAGAGCAAATCAACTCTGCAAGAGTCCTTAAATCTTTCTGCTGGTCATATTCAACTACCTTCTTGACCTTCGTATCTGAAACTGATGAAAAGGAACTCACATCCTTGCTATGACCACTGCTAGAATTCTCTTCAGTAGAATCAGATATTCCATTCTTTGCAGACCCAGTAACTGTATTAGATTCAGGAACCCCAGACATATCTAAAAAGACACAAAATTCTAATAAGCACCGCAGCAACCTCATTTTGTTCTACTAAATCATGTATGCAGTCTATTTCTGGTTTTGCATTTTGGAGTTAAAAGTACCCAAGAAAAGAAATCTTGGCGTACAATCATGGATACCCATCAATAATATAACCAAGAATCTTATTAAAAACACAAACTTTATTCACCCACTGAGCAGAGAACTCAACGATAATATAAAGAACGAAAGAGAAATAACAAAATAGGCAAAAATGATCACATTGGACCCGAGAATGAGAGAATAAGGCAGACCCAGAACGAAGAAACATAAAAAGCATAACACTTAATGACAGCAGATCAGAATAAGCAAAATGCTTGTAATCTTGCCCTGCAATCATGGATACCCATGAACAATATAACCAAGAATCGTACAGTGAATTCTTAAAAACACAAACTTTATTCACCCACTGAGAAGAAAACTCAAAGATTATAAGCAAGAATCTTACAGTGAGTTCTTAAAAAACACATACTTTATTGACCCACAGAGAAGAAAAGTCAAAGATTATAACCAAAAATCTTACAGTAAATTCTTAAAAACCCGAACTTTTTTCACCCACTGGACAGAGAACTCAAAGATAATACACAGAATGAAAGAGAAATAAATAAAAAAAGGGAAAAATGCTCTGAGAGTGAGAGAATAAGGCAGACCCAGAACAAAGAAACATAGAAAGCATAACACATAATGACAGTAGAAGAAGCAAAATGCTTGTAATCGCCATTTCAAGAGTTGATTTTGATAAGAGATCGATAAAGATACAATCTTGAGTTGAAGGCCTAACCTCCTTAGCGTCGAGTAGCCCAGAGGTAGAAGGAACTGAGGACAAGGGAGTTTTGGCGTTCTGTGGGAAATGCAATAGACCGGGAGAGAAACAGAGAGAGTATGAGTTATGAGTTGCTTAGCGCGAAAGTATGAATAAAATGCATCAGAACCGTTATTTATAACACATGCCACAATTTTCTTTCGGTATTTCACAAACGAACATACCCTGAAAATACGGCAGGTGCGCTATTTGGCAATTTCTTAAAAACATACCCTGAAATTTGGGCCATTTTATAAATTTTAATTTTTGTTGTCTTTTTCTCAATAATACTCAAAAAATGAACAAAATACTCTAATAATACAAAGGCGGAAGCAGAAATTATCTAGGGTTGGCTAAATTATTTTGTTTCAGCAACATTATATAAATTATTGTTGTTGTTTTGTAAGTTTTTCAAAGAGTGCATTGTGCTATATATAGCACATGGGAGCTATAAACTGGTTCGTCCTTGTTGCAAAATTTTGGAAAAACGTGTATTATCTGTGAAAAATACGTTACTACACTATAATATGCGAATAAAATGTTTGCACAAAGTGAGTTTTCTTCATATATGAAAGAAACAAAGAAGTATTTGAGTAAGAAATCTTGTGTGTTTTGACGGAGAAAAAAGGAGCCATAAATCTTCATGAACAGACTGTTGAGTTTCATTTTTTATGACTATTCCACAACGTTAAATCTAAATAAATTGGAAGTAAAAAATTTATTACAGACCTTTCTGGTGGCGTAAATGTTGTTTCCAATATAGAATTTTAGTTTTTATTTATTTTTTAAACATACGAAAAATTCAGGGTCAGAAAAGGTAGCTCCCAATTAGGCATTAAGTCAGATGAATTTTTTGCTTCTAATATCATGGCTGGTAGCTTCCAATTTAGGTTTGTGATCCAATAGAGCATGATATTATAATTGAGCAACACACTCCACCATGCTCTCTCTTTTCAACAGAGCAATTCAAAACACACACATAAGGGCAATAAGGTAAACTTCAGCATCATCTATTCAACCATCTCTAGACATCAAGACAACTAGTTTTTACCATCCAGGGGAAACAGATCCAAAGAAAGTTACAATACAAGAACACATAAATGTTCAATCTCTATAATGGAGTTCAGAAGTAACTGGTTTAAGGTTCATGCCAATTGCTTAGCTAAACTGAGATTCCCAAGCCTTCCAAAAGTGAGGTAGCCATAAGCTAGGGAAGAGCAGCAAAAAGCAAAAACTGTACCTGTTTTCGACATCAAGCACATGCACAAAAAAAAGGTCTTGTGAGAATTAAATCATCTTGCAGGATACACATTGAAGATAATTAAGAAGAAATAGTATCGATAATTACCTGTTAACATTGTATCAGTGCCTGCCTACTATACCCAGCTTCGAGTACACATCAAGGCATTCATCAAGTCTGGCTTCAACCGAACTAAATGATCATCAGCTGGCTTTGGTACAGTATAGTATGCCTCAATTTTACTTGCAAGAGAAACTGGAATGGCTAAAAAATCACGTGCCATCCGGGAAAGGGTAGGGTACTCAATGCCTGCGATTCTCCACCAAGCCAATGCATTAAAATTCTTACTATCACGTAAGACAGGTTGTTCCAAATAGCAATCCAAGTCTGATTTTTCTTTAGAGTGATCATTCAAATGGATGAACTGCTGGTAGTCTTGCAACGGAAAACGGACCACATATTCATCAAACAGTTTGTGAATGGCCCCCAAAACAACTGCAACTTGTGAGTTTCCGTTCCTATCCTTAACTTTTGAAAAAAGAAATTCAATATATCTCATCTTCAATCGAGGATCCAGTGCTGCAGATATTGCCAACAGCAAGAACATGTCATCCCAATACTTATCGAACTTTTTTGACATGTCCTCAACTACTATTCTATTAAAACTATCTGAGTCAATGGACACTTTGGCCAGAATTTTGGGAAGCCAATGCAGGTGACAAAGATAAACATTCGGAGTTAGATGTGTTGTGTAAAATAATGCATCTGATACTTCATTTATGTTCTCTAAAATTTTACAAACACCTTCAACTTTCTTCCATTCCTCTGGGGAAGGTACGACGTCATTAGAACCAATCACATCTTTGGTAGACCATGACTTCACAGCTATTTGCAGGTATGCCAATTTGAGAAACCAGAAGGGGTAATCAATATTAAAAGTATATACCTGACGAACCTTGTGAACGATATCTTCAATCTTGTCAAATGCATCCTGCACCATTACACTGATCATTTCCGCACAACAATACACACGAAGCAGCTTACCATTATTTTCTTGGATGCGCCTTTTCACAAACTCAACCAATTCATTATTGCAATTATCATTCTTCAGAGTGAGTGCGGAGATCTTGTTCTCAATGCCCCAATCTTCAAGCGTCCTTAAAATGCCCCAATCTTCATATTTGTGAAGGGAATCATCAGATGGACCCGAAACCGAAACCGAAATACAAGAAAACTGAAGTACCCACTTTTTCAGTTCCCAATTCTCATCAATAAAATGTGCTGAAAGGCACAAATAATCACCGCAGCAGCTAGGGTCAAAGTAACTTTCACACCTCAGAATGTCCACCGAAAGGCTAATCTGTCCATCAAAGTTTCCTAAGATTTTCTTGGTTTCCATTTTCTTTTTCTCAAAGACTTCCATGCATTCAGTTTCAACCTCATTGAAACTAGGCATAAACAGCGGGCTGAACTTACCTATTGAGTGTAAGGAATCAAAATCTTGAGTCCATTTAGGTGGAAGTTCTTCAAAGCAAAGCAACTCTGCAAGAGTCCTTAAATCACTTTGCTGATCATCTTCAAGTACCACCTCCTCATTGCCCTTCGTATCCCCAGCCATATCTAACAAACGCAAAATTCTAATGAGCACCATTTTGTTATACTAGATCATATATTTCTGGTTTTGCATTTTGGAGTTAAAAGTAGCCAAGAAAAGAAATCTTGGCCTACAATCATGGATACCCATCAACAATATAACCAAGAATCGTACAGTGAATTCTTAAAAACACAAACTTTATTCACCCACTGAGAAGAGAACTCAAAGATCATGTACAAAAACGATGACAGAGAACAGAGAAACATAGAAAGCATAACTCATAATCACAGTAGATGAAGCAAAATGCTTGTAATCGCTATTTCAAGAGTTGATTTTGATAAGAGAACCATAAAGATACAATCTTGAGTTGAAGGCCTAACCTCCTAAGCGTCGAGTAGCCCAGAGGAAGAAGGAACTGAGGAGAAGGGAGTTTTGGCGTTCTGTAGGAAATGAAATAGACGGGGAGAGAAACAGAGTACGAGTTATGAATTGCTTTGCTTAGCGCGAAAGTATGAATGAAATGTATTAGAACCGTAATACGTGGCTATTACGATAAAATAATCCATCCACAGACCAAACGAAAGAACTTTGGCAACTATGTGAAAGTATATTAATTCAAATGACAAACTCTAAAGCAAACCTGTCTCTGTCGGCTTTGAATAAACTTCTTATCAAATGATAAGGCAGCCATGCCCTTACTCATATGTCGAGAGAAACTCTCATGTAACGGGGAATAGCACTATTTCCGATTAATAACGTAATGACATATAGGATAACTTTTTCATGTGTCATGTGTTTTTTATCAGGAATAACAAAACGGTATTATCCCTGTTAGATGTAAGTTATTTTGTCCTATTTCAAAGTGCACTACTTGCAGTTGAAGAGGTTGGCCTAGGAGATCTTTCCAAATGTTTGAAATTGCAGTACTTATCATTGAACTCTGCCTCATTCACACGTTCTCATGAAACCTTTGATTTAAATAACAAATGTAAATATATTGTGTTAAATGTACTCTGTGAAATATATGATGCAAGAACCGTCCAGCACATATACGTTGCAAAGTCAGATGAAGAGTTTATAAGTACACGATGCAAAGCTAAAAGTCATCTCCAATAAAGCATTCAACAGAGAGACTTTGATAATGAGCTTTCACATTCCTATTTGGCAAATTTTTACCCTGAAAAATTGGGCCATTTTGTTTATTAAAAAAAAAACTTGTTTGTTTAAATTTGGTTTATTTAGTCTTTTTTTCAATAATAAGTGAAAAATATGAATAAAATATGCAAATAGTACGTAGTATAGCAAAACAAGGGTTGAAGCCAAAATTTATCCTGGCATGGGCTAAATTTTCTTTATTTCTTACAGCAACATTACGCAAACTATTGTTGTTGTTTTGTAAGTTTTTCAAAGAGTGCACTTGGCTATAGCATGAGAAACACTTGTGTGACATGGGGATCATATTGTTTTGTTATTCGCGGCCAATCATAGCATGTTATGCGTGATAATTTTTTTACTTGACATTCTATCATTGGATGAGAATAGCAAAATAGTGTTATTCTTGTTTCACACAAATTTATCTGTAATAGCACATGGGAGCCATAAATTGGTTCTGTACTTTTTACAAAATTTTGAAAAAACGTGTATTATTCGTGAAAAAGTACACTAAAATATGCGAATAACATATTTGCATTAAAAACAAAAATCATACTCTTCCGTAGTTTGAGAAGTGGGATAATCGATACCATGTATTTTAAATCTAATGTAAATATTTGATAAAAGTAGGATAATTGAATGTGAAGGGGATTAAAAGTGGGATAATTGATAATTGCCAAGTACCATGTATTTTAAATCTAATTTAAATGTCTTTTAAATAATAGGGGTTTA